CCCAGCTGATTCTGTCTTGCTCCGCCACTGTGGCGTATCATCTAGCTAGTCGTATTTGGGAGGTCCAGAGTCCAATCTGAGTTGAGCTCACAATCTAATGCTAGCCTGAAGAACCTCAACAATGGACCCCTTGCAAATACAATGACCTATAAAGTAGCAAAACCTTTTTGAACCATACATATGTGATTTAAAAAAAAAGCTGAAAAAAAATCCCAAACACTGGACACCACTATCACACAAGGTGTAACAACTGGTTGGTTCTATCGCATTTGAGCTCTGGAACGCCACTACGATTTAGGATAAAACGTAGATGCTTGACCCAAAAGTCCCCTCTATCATCTCTCACCCGCACAGATGTCCCATATAATTGTTCTAGTCACCCTTTTGTCTCCTTATTAATTGGATCACTCAATTAGTTAACTAGTGACATGTATGAACAATTTTCCAGCAAACTGCAATCTAGGCTCAAATCCGATAGAACCAACCAATTGGAACCCTTGAAAATTCCTCCACTTTTTTGGTCGTTTTAAACGAGACCTAATGCTATAATTAATAGGTGATATCTTTCCCTCAACATGTAAACATGTCACTTCAACATACAACTATGCATAGAAAAAGCACATCTCTACCTGCAACTATGCATGAAAAAAGACTTTCCACTCTACCGTGGTAATTATATTGAATAAATATTTTACAATGATAAGATAATTAAATACAATAAATCATATGTATTTTTAGTTTTAGTTCTCATATTATGAATTCAAATATTCATGTTCCATATACAACCAAGATCTCATTTGAATTATATTGCAACCAATTCCTGCATCAATCGAACTCAAAATAAAAATGAAAAATTCCTGCATCAATTGTACGGAGCACCATCGAGTTAGTCGTATTTTGGAGGTCCAGAGTCCAATCTGATTTGAGCTTAGATCCTAATACTACCCTGAAGAACCTCAGCAATGGACCGCCCCCTGGCAAATACAATGACCTCTAAAGTAGCTAAAACATTTTCGAACCATATATATGTGATCTACAGAAAAGTGAGACCAGGAAAATCCCAAGCATTGGAGGGCCACTATCACACAAGGTGTAACAACTGGCTGGTTCTATTGCATTTGAGCTTTGGAAATTGGAACCCCACTACGATTAGGATAAAACGTAGATGCTGGACCCAAAAGTCTCCTCTATCATCTCCCACCTTACATTATCACATGCATGCATGCATACGGCGTCATTTAGCACCTCAGATTAGCTATCATGATTCATGAAACAGCAATCAGCACATGATTGGATCGATTCGATCTCCGTCCAGGGAAAATACATAAAGAAGGACAAGTATATATGCTATGCCACATCCATGGAGTCCGACGCGCCGGACGGCAACGGCAACGGGCTGGAGAGAAAGGCGACGGCCGGGCTGTCGCGATCCAGGTGCGTCAAACCTTCACCGTTGCTGGTGACGCGGCAAAAGCCAACAACTGTCGCAGGCGTGCTCGTTATTCCCCGTCCTAGCTACCTATGTGTTCTCCAATTCGTCATTGTCTAGTCATTTGGTTTGGTTTGGTTTGCCCTTTAGTATCTTGATGAGTTGACGCTTGACAGTGGTAGGCCGATTGCTCGAATAACGTTGCAGGGATGTGGACCATCCACGCATAAAGTCTGGTAAGGTCTCT